TAAAAGTTATTTTGCATATATATATATATATATATATATGTATATATAATTTTTTAAACGGTGTATGAGTATTTCTCTTTTTCGGATAATTCACCCTTCCTTTTTCCTCAATACAATGCCTTCAAAATCTATCAATTTCAATACATGACGACCTAATTTAAGCTGGCTGTGGTGGTGCATGCCAGTTATCCCACCACTCCCGCAACTGAGATAGGAGGATGGCCATGAGTACTAGGTCAACCTCCACTACAAAGCAAGACTCTGTCTCAAAAAACCCAGCTTATCTATTTTTACTACTACAGAACATTCATTTTTGATCATCAGAGCTAATCATATTTCAAAAGATACTTATTTATTATAATTTTATGCTATAAAAAGATGATAAAATACTTAAAAGCATCGCTGTATGGGTCTCTTGTAGAATGCAGTTGCTGTATGTTAGAGGTAAGAGGTATGCATCTTTAATATTACTGGGAGCTGGATTTCATTTCTCCATATAATCATGGGAATATGATGTAAAGTATTTTTAAAAAATACTGTCAATATAATTAGTATAAAATCTTGTTTCTGTAATTTGCATTGTTTTGGTACCACTAAGCTGAATATCATTTCTGCTTTTTTTTTTTTTTTTTTTTGAGACAGGATCTTGCTATGTAGTTCAGACTGGCTTTGAGTTCATAGCAATTGAATGCTGAGATTACAGGTATGTGCACCATCACACATAGCTACATTCATGCTACTTTGCCTTTTGGGTTTTCTCTTCTACCAAATATCTTTTTGTATTCTTAAACTCATTTTTTCTATTAGATTCTTTATTGCTTTTTATGATTGACATGTGGTTCACTGTACATATTTTATCACTAATTTGTAATTTATTATAAATTGTACAGATTTTTTTGCAGGAAATAAACCTGTTTTCTATGTTAACAATTCAACTTTAAAATTTTCTTTTAAGCTTACTCAGTTCTAGGAACTACTTTCCTGTGGCACTGAAGCTGTAGCAGCTTGACATAGGTTGCAGGAACGAAGGTGGTGACCCCACTTTTTCCCTTGTGAAGTAGACCTCCTGCTGTGTGTGCAAGAGGAAATCTCATCTACTGAACGTCTTTCACAGAAAGCTCTGAGCTAAAAAATTACTTACTGTAAATTAATTCAAGATCTGAGACATGATTCCTTGAGTATGGTTAAATAAGCTGCAAAATTTACTAGACTATAAAACAGAGATGTTTACAACACATTCTACTTTTTAAGAAACCTTCCAAAAATTCACTTGAAAATCTCACCTTAAACTAGGCTAGAAACATTTCCATATGCAATCCAAGAAAATGAGAACACACACAGAATGAACATGACTTTTTGTGCTCCATCTGTACCTCTGGGCTGCTTTGTCAAAGTTATTTTAAAATAAATAGAAAAATAAAGTGTTCATGTCATATTTGGCAATCATCATTCTGTCACACTAAAAAGGAATTATAGGTAAATAATTTAATTTTAATATATTGATAAAACATTCCATAAAAATAATACAAAGTACATATTTTTCAAGATATGAAGAAATTTTCAATTTTAGTATCATGTAAATAATTTTTTCAAGGATAAAGAAAACTACACACAAGTGAAATAGACCAAAGATTTGCCGGGTAATGGGGGAGAAACTCAACTTTCAAAATTCTGGCTCCTATAGCAGATTTTATATCAATATACTAAAATGGGTACAATTATATTATCTACTTTAATTTCACTGCTATGAAGTATATATATATATATATATATATATATATATATTTCACAAAAGAAATGCAAACAAAACTGAATCAATGAAATGAAAGAACTGAGATGAACAGTCAGTAGCATTAATATTATTAACGTTTCAGACTCTGGAGTCACAGATCCTGTGTTCAATAAACAGATGCTGCCCTTACTGTGAGTATGGCCAGGCAACTTAAACTCTGGGATGCTAACTCTTCCCTCTTTAAAGAGGGAGTAAAATTCATTAACAGTGTCAAAGGGAAAATTAAATGGTATAAGAAAAAAATTAATCACATATTCTGTCTTTTAAGCAAAGAATATATATATAAAATCCTTGAAGGGTGTTTGATATATGAGTCTGCACAACAAATATTAACAATAATTATTAGTACTAAATTTCCTAATAGTATTTATTAAATAGGATCTCTTTGCTGCCTGATATAATGCATACTAAAGTGAAATCAAATTTATAATAACACGTCATTATCCATTGTATATAGACACACAATAACGATCTTGAACTGGTGAGCCTATCATAATTTGAAACTATAGCTGTTCTTCACATAGTTCTTGATAACATCCTAATATTCACTAAGTCTTTTATTTTGACTAAGTGTTTTATTTTGTTTTTTTTTTAAAGTTCTTTAGGTATTCTATAAATTAGTCTTCTATACAAGGGATTTCCTGAACAGATATCTAATTACATGAAAACAATATCAAGAGGCAACAAATGAGATTATATTAAAATCAAAAGCTTCTGCGCAGCAAAAGAATTAACAAGAGTGAAGAAAAAATCTACAGAATGGGAAAAATTTGGGGCATCATACATTAGTTTTGAAAATATTAGGAATTCATAGAAATGAAATCATGCTGCTTTGCATTTGGCTTATTTTCTTCAGCACATTTAACCTTCTGTATAATCCTCTAGCTTATACCTCTCATACCCAGTGTATTGAGTATCCCAAGTAAATGGCTTCCTGTATTTAAGCCATTGGTTCTTTATATTTTTCCTGCTCAGACTCATACGCTACAAGCATGTTAGTGACCCTCTGACTTAGATGTGATGGACAGCTTAGCTAACTGTGTGAATAATTATCCACCTTTCTTGAATAAGAAGTTGAAAAGAGAGCCAGTAATGAAGCTCAGTAGTCTGTTTGGCAAGCACAAGGTCATGAGTTTGATTTCCGGTACCAAAAAATAAAAAAAATTGAAAAGACATAAAACTATATTTTCTATACTTCTTTGGTGTAGGGTCTGAATAGGTTGTTGGTTTCACTAAAGAAAACATTTTTAGTTGAAATTAAGCCACATAATGGGAAAGGTAAATCACAGTTTTTATATATGAATATTATACATTGTCCTGGAACTCTAATCTTCTGGACCACAAGAGTGTAATAGCACTTTCTTGATTTCCTGTTAAAATATTCCCATCAGCTTGAACCACCGATGGTCCTGTCGCATCAGGCAGTATGGGACAGCCAGGGGGTAGTACAAGCCAGTCCCTGGGACAGTCAAGCATGTGAAGTCACATCATGAACATATAATGATGGTAAAGTAGCAATGCTTGACAGCTTAATTCATGAAAGTGCAGCCTGGAGTCTCTTTTTATAGCCCTTCCAACAATTCTATAGGTCTTCATGAATCTTCTACTGCTTAAATTGGTCACAGGTATTTTTCTGTTTACAGTTAAGAATACTGGCTTATGGTTTCCTTGTCTTTAACCAATACTAACATCATGAAGGGTAGCTAGAAGAGTTGACTGAGATAACACAAATGAAGCACTGAACATATATACCTGACAAAGACTAGTTATTAACAATGGTGCCATTATTTTAGTATTATTTTCATAAGTCCTAATAATCGGAATACCTGAGTCTGAGTTGAGACTTTTTCTGCAATATTGGTAAAGTGGTTTAACTATTCTAAGGTTTTCATTCACTATCAATAAACTAGGTAAGATCTGTAAATACACTATGTTGCTATTGTGGGAGATACTACATTAAGTAACAATTTCTTTTCTAGACATCTTGTTATTCTCCATACAGATAATGCAGTTAAAATTTTTTTTCCCTATTGCTTCATTTTGTTAAATGGAAAGATATGACCTCTTTATCTGTAGAACCACGGCACACCCTTTGTTATATAATATCCCAGTGCATCTGTACCCTGTTATCCTCTACTTCAATTCAAATCCTTTTTCATGAAGGTTTTCATTGCGAGAACTTGGGGTTAAGGGGAGTTTGACCCTACTGTAATCACTTCCTTGACCTTGGAATTCCAAAAAATAGTACCATATTTTCTTCAACATTTTGTTCTTTGCCATTTAATCAAAACAACTTATTTATCTCTCCTTGATAGTTGTGAACCATATCTCTTAAGAAACTCTTAGCAATTACTAATCATTTGAACAACTGCTGACTAGATGATATACAATGTCCCACAGTGAATTCAATTAGATTGCATAATAGTTTTAAACTATGTCATTAAGCATATGGCCTTAGATGCAAGTCACTGGATAAAAACAATTTAAAATCATATGCACACATATTTTTTCTTATTAAATTTCTTTCTCTCTCCCAAAATATTTCCACCCTTCTCTAATTTCTTTCAATTATGCCTTTTAATTCTACCACACATATGGTAAGAATAAATGAGGTGACAAAATTAAACCAGTGTTAACATGAAAGTATGGGAATTATTTTTCTTCTTACATATGTTTTTCAAAATTGGCATATAACATAGGTATAGATAAACAGGCTGCTTCATGACCTAAAAACATGAGAATCACTTGGAGGGATTTAATGATACCAATGCCTGTTATCCCATCCCAAAAACAAGTATTAACTTGATTAGTCTGTGGGTTGGCAATGGGATATTTAAAAGTTAGTAAGATAATTTTCTAGGACAATTGGACTTGAGAACCTGTTCTTCACTTAGGATCCTATCCAGTTCTCTTCTCAGTTCTTTGTCTGAGGAGCATGTTGTCTGCCTAGAGAGACTTAAGACCATTCATCTAAACTGTTTTGCTGGCACCATTGGGACTTTGGGCACATATACATAAGTATGACATAGTTTTATTTTGAAAGGTACTGTAATTAAGTAGGCAGTAACATTTTTCACATACATTGGAGATAAGTTATCAGCCTGGCAAATATTAGCCTGGTGGAAACAGAGGGAAGAAAGGGAAAGAAAATAATATCCTGTAGCTATATTAACTATAAATAAGAATTACAGTTTCAAGTTTTATGTACCTGATCGATGGCTCTCAGATCATCAACAAAGCAGTTTATTTCTGATAGAAGTAGAGATATAATAGACTTTCTCAACAAGCTGCAACTTCCCAGGGTCACCAGATTATGAGACACATAACGCTGCTCCTGAAACTAAAGATGAAAATGAGTAAGTTTTCTATTTTCCATCAAGTCAAGTCAAAATGTACTTAATGGGTATTTTCTAACACTTAACTAGTAAGATACATATTAGGCAGGGTTCAAAATGTCAATGCAATTCTGGTCAGTTCTAAGTCAAGCTTTGAAATAGACAAATTATAGCAAAATAATACTGATTGTATACAGCAGTTAAATTTTGACACGTATGATAGGATGTTAAAATGGACGTTTTAGTAGACATATCAAAAGATAATATAGCAGTTTAGATGACAGACTATATGCAGAAAGAACTATGAAGATCATAAGGTAAGAAAACATGCAAGCACTTACATAGATGAAAGATACGAAAGGTGAGAGCAGAAGTTTGAAGATAGCTTTGGGAAAAGCTACAGATTCTGAGTCCCACCTCTGGCCGTAGAGGGCCAGGTAGAAGAGACTTGTGTATTTACAACAATTCGAAACCATGAGGGAAAAGTGAGATGCTGAGTTTTCATAGACAGGTAACCAAAGGATTCACAATGAAATAAATTTAAAAGGAAGTGGAACCCATCATCCATGCATGAATAATTTGATGACTCACTTTTGACTTCCTCCAAAACTTGCAAATCTTGGTTTTCATATGTCATTGTACTGAATTGGGCTAGGTTTACTGGAAATATCTAAGGAAAATATTTTTAAAAACAAGTCTGATAGTGATATGTGTGTACTATTCCCTAGTGTTGCTCAGGTAGATGATGCAAAGCCTTTTAGATGAGGCACCACATGGTTGTAAATCCTGGTTTGACCTGTATTCACATTGTCTTTTGTAGTACCAAGTGAATAAACACAAAGATTGCTTCCTGTATCCCCCAGGCACAAGTATGGAGACATACAGCCAACTACTACTCTACTAAAATAAAAATTTACAGTAGGAAAGTAAGGAATGTGTTTGCAGAACCCAATGTTAAGGCCTTACTATGCAGTTTCCAGTCATGGCAGAAGCAGCAGCTATCTTGGTGTCCCTGTGGTTTAAAGAGTTGAAACCCAGCCTTTGAAACCCAGCCTCCTAAAAGGTGCTTTGATTTAGTTGTTCACACACAGTGCTTGCTGCTACCGGAAAGCCTGGCTCCTAAAAACATTTTGGTATGTCTTTTTCTACCTTATTCACTGAATCTGGCACTAGGTATTTTCTGGTTCTTTCCTAAAATCAAAATCACTATGGGAAGCAAATATTTAGAATGAGTTCAGGACATTTTGGAACCATCATAGTAGAAGCAAACACACACACAAAACAGAACATATATACCTCACTTATATTCCGTTTTTTGCAGTTGTAACTTATACAATCAATGCATAACTATCAAATTGAGTTACAAGTAAAATTCTGGCTAAAAAATGTTACAGAAGTAAACACAACCAACAAATACAATGCACGTATGCACACACACACACACACACACACACACACGTCATCCAGCAGTTACTACAAGATAGACTTACATTTTCACCATGTAACTCTGCAATAATGTAATAATTAATGATGGCAGTATTAATGAAATTTTCACTAAATAATATGATCAGGTCTTAGCTGATACACATCTTAATCAATATAACACTGAGCAAAGCGAGTTGTTAAAATATTAACAATGTTTTGTGTATAAAATGTTCAAAAACAGACAAAGCTAATTATATTCTTAAAATAAAAAAATAGGTACTATAATTTTAAAATGAGAAGCTTTAATCTAAAGTAAAAAATATTTATTCCTAGAGAGGAAAGACAGAAGTGTAATTGGAGAGCAGTTCTGTTTGTTTTATTTCTTGTTTTGGGGGTTTAGAATACCTGAGACTTCATTTCCTAATCATTTGTTAAAATGAGTACGTATTTATGTGTAATAAGGTGCATTATGAAATTATGACATCTAAAGACAAATCAGACAATCATTCCACTCTTGTGGAAGCAAGAGGACATGATACAAGTTGGGTTTGGGTATGAGTAGATTATAAAAAGAGCAATGTCAAGCCTCATAAAACATTCAGGCCTTTGGTATGTTCAACAAAGCATTTTCCTGTAAGGAGATAATATTTTAATCAGCCAAACAAAAAAATAGGAATCCTTATAATTACGTAAGAAATTCCTTTTAAAAAATCACAAACGTACATTGATTTAGTGACTTAACAAATTTTGTCTTGCTTTGAATGTAGAATTTTCTTTGTTCTGTTTCTGTTGATAGCTAAATGTTTGCTGTACATAGTATTATTTTCATTGTGTGGAGTTGGTACCTATCCATAACGAATTTGATTTCTTTTATTCTGTATGACCTTCCTCTCCCCATCCATTTCTAGTTGCTTTTGCTATTTGTATAGGATATATAATTCTATTTTGTGTTATCCATGTTTCTTATGCTTTTAAAATTTATATTTTGTGTTTTGCTGTGTCCGATTTATTCCACTTAACATTATAATTTCAATGCCACTGATTTTCCTGGAAACTACACACACACATCATTTTTTATGGCTGAGTATTACTCCATTTTATTACTATAGCTTTGTAACATAAATTAAACCTGAGATTACAGTACCTTCTACTTTGCTCTAGAAATCCAAGATTGCTTTTGCTATTCAGAGTTTCTTGTGTTTCAATATAAATTTGAGAGGTTTTTTTTTTTATTAAGAGCGAGGCTGTTGGAATTTTGATTGAGAATGCCATGTATGTATGCATGTATGTACATATCTAATTTTTGTAGTTTGGCTATGTTGACAGTGTTGGTTCTGCATATATAGAAATAGTATACCTTTCCATTTTAGGAGTACCTCTTTGATCATATTTGTCAGAGTGCTATAGGCTTTCTTTTTTTTTTTATAGATTTTTCACTACTTTGGTTAGTTTAATTCCCAGGTATTCAAATTTCTTTAAGCTCCTATAAATAAAATTGTTTTTGTATTTTCCTTCTCAGTGGGTTCAGTATTGGCATACATGAATATTATTAATATGTGTGTTGATTTTGTATCCTGCTATATTACTCAAATATTTATTCATTTAAGGAATCTTTGAATCTTCTTTCTAAAATATCATGTCTGCAAATAGTTTGATTTCTTTCTTTCTTCTGGTATCCCTTTTACGTCTATATATTGCCTGATTATTCTGGTTATAGTATAAACAGGAGTGGTGACAGGGGAAATCTTTGTCTTGTTCTTGGTTTTAGAACAATGCTTTCATTTTTTCTCAATTTAATGTAATTTTGGGAGTAAGTTTTTTCATGAAATGCATCAGGTTGAGGTAAGGTTGTTCTTACCTCTCTGATAAAATTCAGGAATTTTATCATGAAAGGATTTTTGGGTTGTCTCAAAGATGTTTTCTAAATCTATTTAGATGATCATATGGTTTTTGTCATTGTTTCTGTTTGTGTGCTGTATTACATTTATTGATTTGTGTATGCTGAACTTGTAAAAATCCTTGGGATGAAACATACTTGGTCATGGTACATGGTATTTGTAATGATGTACTTGCATTTGCCTTGTTAGTACCCTATTGAGAAATTTTATGCCTATGTTCATCAGGGCGATTGGCTTGTAATTCTCATTTTTAGTTGAATCTTTGTTTGGATTTAGAATCAAAGTAATGCTAACTTTCATAATAAGTTTGGCAATAATCTTTCTCTTTCAATTTCATTAAAGATCTAGAGAAGTAGTGGAATTGGGTCCTACCTGAAGTCCGAAGAGAACTCAGCAGTAAATCCATTGTATCTGGGCCATTCTTAATTGAAATGTTTTTATTGCTGCCCTAAATTTACTGCCTGTTACTGGTTTTTACATTTTCTTGGTTTATGTTTATTAATTCATATGTAATGAAGTTATAGTAATCTGTTCATTTCTTTTAGATATTCAACTCATTAGAGTACAAGTTTTTTTAACTAGTAATAATTTTGTGGATTTTTGTAGTATCTGCTATTAATTTCCTTTTGTCATTTTTAATTGCAGTTACTATAGGTCTCTTTTGTTCTGCTAAATTTGATTACTAATTTTTCCATTTTGTTTATTTTTTCAAAGAACTAGCTATTTGATTCATTTTAGTCATAATTTCAGACATTTGCACTCTATATTTTTTTCCTTGTATTAGTGTTGCATTTGTATTTTTGCTTCTCTAGGATATATAAGTGCATCATCATGTTATACAATAATGTAATGTTTTGCCCTGATTTTGTAAAGTAGGGATTCACACCTATTTTTCTTAGGACTGCTTTCATTGTGTTCTATTATGTTATCAGTTACTATTTCAGATGTTATTAGATTCTAGAGTCTTTTTAACTCTTCCCTCAATTTTTTCTGTGTCCCACGAGTTATCCAAGGGTGTATTGTTTGCATTTTTTGTGGTTTCTTTCATTTTTTATTGCTAGTGATTTTGTGGTTTCTTTAATTTTTGATTGCTAATTTCATTCCACTGTGATCTGATAACATGCCTGAGATAATTTCAGTTCTTACATACAGTTTTAAGCATGCTTTCCTGTCCAAGATGTGATCGTGGAGAAAGTTCCTTATCCTGGGAATAATTTATACTCTTATTATTGCTGGAATATTATGTAATATCCATTAAGTCGATATGTTCATATTTCTTTGCTGATTTTTACTTAGTTGGTTGTGTGTTTGCAATATTGGGGTACTGAGGTACTCAAACATGATTGTGCTAATGTTTTATGTGATTTTTATGTTCAGTAGAGTTTGTTTTTTGACACTGTGTATGCTGGTATTCAATTCACAACTGTTATGCTTTGTTGTTGAATTATTGCCTTAGCCAATATTTAGTGATATTAATTCTTCTGATCAGTTTTGACTGGAAGTCCACCTTGTATGAAAACAGTACAGCTGCCATTGCTTGGTTTCAGACTTCCGTTTTATGAGATGTTGTTATCCATCCTTCAATTTTTTTTTCACTCTATGAATATCTTTTTGCATGAAATCTTTTATGCTACATACCATTGGGTTTTGTTGTTTGATCCACTATGGCAGTTTGTGTCACT